CAAAAACTACTCGATAATGAAATAATTCGACCTTCCATATCACCATATTCCAGTCCAGTTTGGATTGTACCCAAAAAATTAGATGCTTCAGGCACAAAGAAATATAGACTGGTAATAGACTATCGAACTTTAAATTCAAAAACTACAGAAGACAAATATCCCTTACCCCGAATAGATGAAATTCTTGACAACCTAGGTCGATGCACATACTTTTCTTGCCTAGACCTTGCACAAGGTTTCCACCAAATTCCGATGTCTGAAGAATCGATTAGCAAAACTGCTTTCTCCGTGCCAAATGGTCATTTCGAGTATCTCCGAATGCCGTTCGGACTCAAAAATGCCCCGGCAACGTTTCAGAGAATGATGGACGAAATTCTAAAATCTCATATTTACAAACGATGCTTTGTATATATGGACGATGTCATCGTCTTCTCTCGATCTCTTCAAGAACATATTAATGACCTTAAATTAATTTTCTCTTGTTTAAAATCCGCAAATTTAAAGGTACAACTCGACAAAAGCGAGTTTCTTTCAAAAAAAGTTGAATTTTTAGGACACATTGTAACTGATAAAGGCCTTCAGCCAAATCCAAAGAAAATAGCTGCTATTGTAAATTTTCCCATACCTAAATCTATTAAAGAAATTAAATCTTTTCTTGGTTTAATAGGCTACTACAGACGTTTTATTCCAAATTTTGCAAAAATTGTCTATCCAATTAATAAATGTACAAGAAAAGGAGAAAAAATCAATATTCATGATCCACGTTATATTTCTGCTTTTGAACAGTGCAAAAACCTAATAACCCATTCTCCAATCCTACAATATCCCGATTTTAACAAAACATTCACCTTGACAACCGACGCATCCGATATTGCCATAGGTTCAGTTTTATCCCAAGAGTTAAAACCAGTTGCTTTTTATTCCCGAACACTAAATTCTGCAGAACGAAACTATTCCACGATTGAAAAGGAACTACTAGCTATAGTTGCCTCGACAAAATTTTTTCGGCCCTACCTTTTTGGACAAAAATTTAATATCGAAACCGATCATAACCCCCTTGTTTGGCTCAGTAGTTTAAAGACACCCAATTCCCGTTTAATTCGATGGAAAATAAAATTAGACGAATTTGACTACAACATTTCCTATAAAAAAGGTAAGGAAAATATTGTCGCTGACGCACTCTCTCGTGTTGAGATTAACGTTCACAATTCTGACTCAGATAATGAATCACTAATGGTTAACGTAGATCTTGATGAAATTGTCACTGTCCATGCCCCTGCCGATTATGATCCCCAAGCACCTAAATCTGTAATTTCCGGAAAATCTACCGTCCACTCTCAAAAAGAAAATATTTCCTGTACTTTACCCATTTCGGAGGAATGTATAAACAAATTTCAAAACCAAATTTTTGTACGTATAGGAACATTACAGTCTCATTCAGTCACTAATCGATTTAATAAAAATATTCATTTAATTACTCTTGTTTCAAATAATTTAGAAAAACATTTTTCATCAACATTAAAACATATCATAGACCCTCAAAAGACGTACTATATTTATCTTTATGACAGAGAACTACGTCCTATTCTTGAAAACATTCTTTCATCTTTATTTAATACAACACTAAAAATTATTCTTTGTCAGTCTAAAGTTCAAGATGTTCCAGAAATTGAAAATCATTTGGAAATTGTTAATGACTATCACAATGCTAATCATAACGGAATCAACGAAACGTACGAACATTTGCGTAGAAAATATTACTGGCCAAATATGAAAAATTTAATAACTTCAATAATAAATAAATGTGAAATCTGTTTAACATCCAAATACGAAAGAAATCCTATAAAAACACCATTTAAAGGTCCTTTACTTCCTTCTCTCCCTTTTAAAACACTTCATATTGACATATTTAGCTATTTGAGACATAAATTTTTGACAATCATTGACCCCTTTACAAAATACGCCCAAGCTTATCACGTAGAAAATACAACTTCAATCCATATCCTCTCCAAATTAAGACACTATTTCGCACACCACAATTTTCCCAAAAATGTTGTTTTCGATCAAGGTCCCGAGTTTAAAAATAAAGTAGTTAACGAATTTTTTAATCTACATCAAATTAACATTCACTATACATCCAGATCTAACTCCTCATCCAACTCCCCTATCGAACGCCTACATTCCACCATAATCGAAAAATTACGTGTTTTAGAACCCTCTGAAACAAATATTATAGAACGTATGATATCTGCCATTACTATTTACAACCAATCCATACATTCAGCTACAGGTTTTTCTCCATTTTCCCTAATATACGGACCATACGAACATGAGATACTGTTTGACAATAATCTGACAATTTATGAAAAATATAATCAAGACAGAAAAAACGAAATTCTGCCATTTATAAAACATGTTTACACAAAGCAAAAAACAAAAGCCGATAATAACCTTGCCAAAATTAACGAAACCAGAACAGATCAGCCCACAATTAATTCTGACACTCCCGTATATGTTTGTACAGCTAGAAGATCTAAACACGAAAAACCTTACAGAAAAGAACTATTAAAAAATCAAGACAACGAAAATAAAGATATCATTTATACAGTACACCCTAAAATCAAAATAGAGACAAAAAATAATGTTAGAAAAATTAAACGTCCCCGCAAATAAACAAAATTTCTTGTTACAGCTACATCCTTGCTTACTCGTGTGTGCCTAATAATGGGTTTTATCCTTATGATTCCGGAACCCAACAAGAATTTTCACATTTCCATAGATTCACTGTTTCCATTAACCTTCATAACATTCAAAAAAGTCTAAATTCAATGCCCTTCATGAATAATGAAACACCTTTAAGCAGAATTTACAATATAAAACTTAAAGAAGCAATTAATAATTTTCATAAATTAACATTTTTTCGACAAAAAAGAGGACTTGCTAATTTTTTGGGGTCTGCTATTAAATTTATTACGGGCAATCCAGACAATGACGACCTAGAAATAATCAATGACAATATAAAATCAATTTCGGATAAAACAGACGAACAATCGATAAAAATTAATAAACTTATTTCAAATGCACAACATATTCAAGAAAGATTTCATTTAATAATTGACAATTTTAATAGTAACAATAAACAACTGGCAAAATATTTACGCAATATACAAAATGATTTAGGAATTCATGAAGCACAAATTAATATCGCTAATATCGAACACGTAAATGATTTTTTATTAATGCTTTTACGTACAATAACATTTTCAAAATTAAATTTAACAAATTTAGAACTATTTTCTGCCGATGAAATTACAAGATTAGAAATAGAATTAGAAAAATTTTACGATACCAATCAAATTATTTCAACTAATCTGCTTGAACACTGTCAAACTATTCTAATTCACACTAACTATAAAATTATATTAATTTTGAAAATTCCAATCCTTAAAGTCAAATCCTACCCGCTAATCAAAGTTTTCCCAATACCTAATGAAGACAAAACCCTTATCCTACCACCAACTTCATGGAACTCCCACAACGATTGGTTCGAGATCTGTCAGCAGATTTCAATAAGACATTTTTTCTGCAATAAGAAAATCACCAGCAACTGTTCCATAACGAATCCTCACCGATGCCCAACAGCTAAAGCCGAATCCGAGATTGAATACGATTTACCAGATGGAAAAATAGTGTACTCCCCAACGAAGACATTCCGGTGTAACCAATCCATAACAGTCGATTGCTACACGATCCAATGTACCGATAAAGAAGAAGACGTCACACCTGAATTTTACACACACAATTTGCCTTCGGCAAGAAACAAACTTATTTTACAGAAAATGGACATCCCGACCGGATTCGACATAACACCAATCCAACCCCTTCATTTGCACCCAGTTTCCACCTACATCAGTTGGAGCATATCGACATCATGTCTTCTTTTTATTTTGGCCTTCATCTACATTATGGTTAAGAAAAAGAAGAGGATCCACCACTTTCTAAATCGCCCCAGAGTTACAAGAGAAACCCTAGAGCTCTTTCTTAAGGAGGGAGGTGTTACGGACGCCGACCCTGCAGCCGGTACAGCGACCTAAGAATTAAAGTTAAAGGAAATATCATATAATATTAAACAAAATCAAGCTACATCCGTTAAGACATAAAAACCCGTGTAATTTACTTTTCGCAATTCTGCAAAATAATCATTTTGTGCTTTTTTCCTTTTTATAAAATTTATTTTTGATCAGTGTTGATTGAATCGTCAAATCATTAACTTGTTAACTTCTTCTTCAATAAATATTTGGTGTTCATAAAAACTTGTGTTTTCATCCAAAATATTTAACTCGCGCGGCCGCTTTGTAATTTCGGACCCGTGAGCCGGTTCGTTTAATTTTCGTGAACCGGTTCACGTAGATCACTTATAAGACCCGGTTCACTGAGCCGGTTCAGATCTGACCGACACATCTCTAGTTCCAATGTTGTATAATAAATTAAGGTGCGAATTTCAAATGTGGGAATTAATATTATTTATTATTATTAAAAAAAAGATGGAAATTAATTTAGTTTGTGCGGGAAATTCAAATTTTTAATCTTTTTTTTTAATAATAATAAATAATAATAATTCCCACATTTGAAATTCGCACCTTAATTTATTATACAACATTGGAACTAACTTCTTTATCTCTGGGAACTACTAGAATGTATGTCAGTTTGTGCGGGAAATTCAAATTTTCAATGTAGCCAACGTAATATAATTGAATGTTCCCAATAGTAGAAAAATTTATCAAAAGTTGACAAATAGCAAAAGGTCGAAGTTGACTTCCAATAAATATTGGCCAATCAATTGATTGTCAAACAAAGGGCCAATTCAGATTTTTCATTGGACACCAATGTTTAAACATAGAGCCCAGGGCATATCGATTTTCCAACAAAAGGCCAAAATTTAAATACAAAAATGGATGGGCTTATAAAAAATATTGTCAAAAATTATTATACTTTATTATTTATAACAAACTCTCATACACATTTGCAGACAGAATTTTTAATTTGTCATTAGCTAATAATAATTGTACAAACTGGTTAAACAATCTTTCTTTTGTTAAAAGACCATTTATAATAGGTATTAGTTTTGCTAAAGGTTTAGTAACATACATCGAATTTTCTAAATTACATGAAGCATTTGTAACTTCCACTAATTTAGGTTCTTTTGACACAAAAAATTCTGAAATTTGGTCACTAAATAAAACAAATCCTCTATTAATGCAATGACTTGAAATAGACTTTACTTCTTCACTTTCCAGCAAATCAGCCGTATCTAAAATCTAAAAAACAAATATATACAGGGTGTACGAAAAATGTGTGTACATCTACAATAATTGAGGAGCATCCGTTCAAAACCGGCTATATCGATTTCAATAAAATGTTGAAAAAATGGCAAAAACTCCCCGTTTCCTGGCCTTTACAGATAAAAAAAAATGAATCTTTTTTTGGGCACAAAACTCAAGATGCATTTTTTATCTGTAAATGCCAGGAAACGGGGAGTTTTTGCCATTTTCCCAACATTTTATTAAAATGGATATAGCAGGTTTTGCACGGATGCTCCTCTTGTAGTTGTACACACATTTTTCATAATGATTATCATAATAATATAATCAGGTATTTATTAATATACCAATTTTTGGAAAGTTTTTTTAAATAAAAGTAAAAAACCCAAAATAAACTAAATCGATTGATAAGTTTTTATTTAATAACGAAGCTAATGTAAATTGAGATCTCTTAACACTTAAATATTGATTTATTTATATACTCGCTTCTGCGCATAGTTTTATCGTAGCATAATAAATCTTAAAATTATGACGTCACTCGGGACTGAACTGAAAATGTTAAAGATATCAACAAAAAAAAACCGTGGCACGATTTGTTGTGTTGTTTGGTGTTTTTCGAGAGGAAATCCTGAGTTGAGTTTTTACCGGATTCAGCCCTGGATTAATGGAGGACTTTGGGGGCAATAGCCCCAGGCACCACCATTCAAAAAGCCCCCGAAACCTTAATATTTAATAGTTAAAATAATAATACACATTATATTAGCTACTTAAGCTGGGTTCTAACAGAGAAATATCGTAATATAATTTAATTTTCCTTTTAAAGTAATTTAATTTACTTGCGTTCATACAAAAAGTAACGTAATTTAATTTAACAAAAATAGTGTTTGAAATTAAAAACAATATTTTAAAGAGAGAGCTTACTTCATGTATCTAAAACCTTAAAGTTTTAGATATATTGCTCACTTTAGTAATTACAATCGAAATATTCTTCTTATTAATAAAACCGTTTACACAAAATAGGTTAGTTCTTAAATTCTAAACACTCCTCAATTTCTTCAAAGTTAGGTATTTTGTTTAAAAAAACCAAATTAAACTTTAAAAAAATTATACCAACTTTTTCACTGGTTTAAATAATCAACAGGTGTGTAAAATTTAAAAATGTTTTTTTCTACTGAATGTTCACATATGCTACCATCTCGTACTAACGAATTTAACATTACTTTAAAGGACAAGGTGTGAAAATTTTCATCTCGTCGTTTTTCTAATTTTTCAATGAGTTCATCATTAACTTTACATGTTTCAATAAAGGACGTTTTCTCGCCTTCTAATTTTAAAACAATTTTGTGAAATAAATCTGCTACATTATGTGCAAAATATAACCGGATTTCAGTTTTAGAATTATCAAAATAATTTTTAATTAGTACTGGGCAGTTATTATTTGATAAAAATAGGACTTCAATCCTTCATACATTTGTAAAACTTGTTCAAGGGCAGGGAGTAATGCTAACCATCGCGTATTGCTGTAACCTATATTTCCTTGTACTCAGTACAAACAAATTCACAAAACTCTTTCAGTTTCTCAACTCCTACTGTATATAAAAATGGCTATACATTTTTACAATTAAAGCTTCAACGTCTACTGGTAATGTATCACAATCAGTCCTAGTACAATTATTCACCATGTGGGCCATACAACCCACGCCAACAATTGAGGGATTGTTTAATTTTTGTTTTACTTTGTAAAAAACATTTGTTCCATTCCTAGAAACACCACCAATATTACTATTAATAATAATAGTGCTTTATTGCCCAACAGTTAAACCATTACAGGACATTCATATTCAAAATATAATAATAATAATAATAACAATAATAATAATAATAATAATAATAATAATAAAAAAACAATTAAGGTATATACAAAAACTTTGGCTAAAATTAATTAAAAAATAGGTAAAAAATACAGTATATATCAGGTACAGTACGGATTATGAAGAGCAATTGGTGTTATCAGTACATAAGGCCAAAACTTTATCGTTTAAATTAAAATTGGTCATGGTTTCCAATATATAGTCAATTATTATATCTGAAGTTCCTTCCGGTCAGTTTAAAACTTAATATTACGTAATATTTTTAATTGAACCCCTTCTTCAGGTAGTAAATATCTTTCAATAATAGGCATCAGCTTAATGTATTTATGATTTGATGTATCCATGCATATTGCAGAGCTCCCACGGCTAAATTACAAATTTTATGTAGGAATTGAGGAGGTTTTTTGGAGAATTTTAGGAGAAATAAAGTATGCCAATTCTGTAATTAAATAAAAACAAGTCTACAATGTACTTAAAAAATAAGACAAAAAATTAATAATTCTTTTTAACAAAAATATAAATAGGTTACATTGACTAGTTTTTAGCCAAATCGCTCAGTGTTTTTGAATAAAATTGAAAGTGGGGGAAAATTACTACTTTTCTATATATCTGAGGTATATACACAAGTTGAAATTTCACCACACTTTTAATTTTATTAAAAAAAACTCGTCGATAGATTTGGCAAAAAAACTAGAGCAAAGTCAAATGATTACACAGTTAGTATTTGCAGCTAGTTTAAAATAAAAAATATACATTTTTTGAGTCATACTGTATTGAAAGCTTATGTTATGGGCTACCAATATTCATCAAAATTAAAATCATCCACGTACGTCCTGACGAGAATTTCATTAAAACGATTTTTCCTGTTGTTAATATAAAATGCGGTGACTAATTTTACGCTTATATTTAAAACAACAGAACTTAATTTAATTTTACAACAAAAAATAGATCTATAGTTTATAAATGAATAATAAACAATTTTGCTATATACTTAACAATGAATTATCTTAAATATGAAGTAAGAAACACATCTTAATAAGTTACTTTTGTAATTTTCCATAATGGTCGAAATCTATGGATGCTTGTCAAACTCATTCTGAAGCAACCTCAGGAAACTCATATGCCCAGTAATAAATGTAGCTCTGGCGGTGGGAGGTATCGTAAAACTGGCGTCTCTTAATCACCAATAATGAGTGGAATATTAACACAGTTTTCTAAAACGTATTCACATAGTTGTAGCTAGTAATAAAATTTAATATGGAAATTGACAGAAAAAAAAATAATAAGAAACTAACTGTAAAATTAAGCTTTTATTTTCATTTTCCCATTAGCTTTCCAAGCTCTTGACTGCTTGGTTATAGAGCTTATTGTTCTTGAAAGTCCTTTCTCTTTTAAATCTTTTGCATTTATTTCACACCAGGGCACAGTGAGCTGAATTGCCATTCTAGCTGGACATAATTATTTTATTGGCTTAATGTATTCTAAATACCCTGAAAATACACGAAAAATAATCAAAAAAAATAAATCTGCTTTAGGGCCCTTTTAACCAACTAGGTATTTTTTAATATCTATTTAAATTTATTTGATATAAAAAAATAACAAAATAGTATGAATTATTTTTTATTTTCAAGAAATCTACAATGTCATCCATAATTTCCTTTACAAAACAATTTAAATATTTATAAAAAAAAATATTATGAATAATATTTTTATACCAAATTAAATAATTATGCATTTTTTAAATATTATTATTATTCAAATAATAATTATTAACATAATTTAAATATCTATAATTAAAATAAAATATATAATTTTATATTTTACCAAATATAATAATTTAGAAACAACAAATATTGAAAAAAAAAATTTATTATAAATAAAAACTAAACAAAATATTAAATCATCACACAAATAAACTTGATTTAAAAAAATATTTAAACAAAATTGTTGAAAAAAATTAAACAAAATATAATTTTTCAAATATTTAAACTACTAATCGTCACTTGACTCATCATTACTGTCAGACGAATCCTCTATTAAATATTCTTCATCGTCACTTCTTTGTTGTTGTTGTTTTGGTATTGAAGGCGAAACAAGTAAATCCAACACTTCAACCGGAAATTTTTCGCTTTTCCTTTTAGGTATTTCTCTGAGTGAGTTGATTACAGGATCAGATGTTATTAAAAGCATGTGTAGCAAATCTATATTCGTGGAAACGCGTGACTGCTTCCTTGTATGGTGCTGTCTAAATCTACGGCAATCCTTATTCCGAGACTCTTGAGATTCTTCGGAGAGCTGCCCGATTGGAAAAATGCATCATTTAATTACCTCCGTGCTATGTACCAAAATTTTGTGCACAGTAACAGGCATATAGTACCACGAATATAGATTTAAATAATCACTTCTGGTTTCATGACAAAGTTTTTCAAATTTATCAACATTAATATCATACCCGGAAGATAACGTCCTTAATATAATACAAAACTTCTTTATTAAATTAACATCCAATCCTGTAATTTCCCCACTCAGTTTTGGATTCATAAAGAACCTACGCGCTGTGTTCCCATCATTTGTATTTCCATAACCAGGTTTTGGTTTGTCTACAATAAGCCCCATCTGATTTTTAAACTTTTTTTTAATCTCTGCCGACCGCTGTTGTAAACTAATTTTATCACTGTCATCTCTAGCTTGCCATTTTTTAATATTTAAGCGATAGCTTATGTGCAAAAAGCATTCAAAACAACGAATCCACGCATGTAAAGTAGACAAACCAAAACCGTAATGTTCTTTTTTAGCAACGTTTTCTAATTTGCCATTCATTATTTTGGAAGTTGCCCCACAGATATAGCATTTTTGTGGAGATTTTGTGTTGGTTAACGCATTGCAAACTTTTCCGTCTACCATGGTTTGTAGGAGATTGTGTTTAACAGAAATTTGAGATTCGCCAATACTACAATGTGTTGGAAGAAGTTCAGATACTTCTTTCAAAACCTTGTTACTTTCTGTTTCAGTAAATTCATTTGTTTCCTTTGAAAAAATAAACTTAATTGGTCGGCAATAGAGCGTGGATGATGGCCTTGGATTTTGCCATATAATATTTTGACCATCACTTAACCTTAAAGGAAC